CTACTGTTTCATGAGAAACTATTTGTTCTGTAAACCTTCACCTGAAGTACAATAAAAAAAAAAATAGTACCTGCCCCTTCAGTGGAGTGAAATATGTGAATTGAAGTGCATGGCCCAGCACCTCTCGTGTGGTTAGCACACAGGAAACACTGCCTGTTCTCATGTTGGCCCTTTCTGGATTGCGCATCTATATAACACCCTAGAAGTAGAGTAAAACCTGCAAAAGCCGGAACCTGTGTAAGGTGGGAAACCTGTCAGAGAAGGGAAACTCAACTATTTTCCACTAAAATGAACAATAAATAGAAAAGCGGTAAGACTGCGCCCTGTCAAAGGTGGAAAATTGCAAGACCTGGAAAAACAAGGCAGTCCCATTGAGTTCTGGCTCTCACAGGTTTCACTGTATAAAGGTATTTACAGTTAAGTATCAATCTACATTGTAGGGTGTAATTTCCAAAAGCATCTTATCTGAGGTGGCGCATTCTCCGTGTCCAGCTCATTGTGGAGTCTTCTCTACACTGAAAGCTGGACATCAAGATACTCTCAGATCTCTTTTCCTTTGGAATTATTATTATGCTTGTTGTATATGGAAGGTTCATTGCTATTTTGGTTTTTGAAGGATACAAAGTTGCTAACATACCAATAATAGCTCCAGTCCCATGCAACAGGATACCCTAAGTATTTCAAGCTCTAGCTATAGGGGAAAGGGAAGACAAAACTTTAGGGTAAAGGAGCCATCTCGGCTGTACCTTGAAAGATGCGTGGGATTTTATAAGAGGAAGGAGAGGAAGAAGGCTGTGGGGTCAGGAAGTACATGACCTGTTTGGTGATTGCAGTGAAGGCCCATCCCAAGTTGTTTGTACTCTTTATTTTGTATCGCTTACCAAAGGACCAAACCCACTGCCGTCGAGTCAATTCCGACTCTTAAGGACTCTATAGGACAGAGTAGAACTCCTCCATAGGGTTTCCAAGGAGTGGCTGGTGGATTCGAACTGCTGACCTTGTGGTTAGCAGCCAAGCTCTTAACCACTGCACCACCAGGGCTCCTACCAAAGGACCAGGAGACTATATATTCTGTTCTAATTTACCCGCAGGCTTTCATGGTGCTTTCGGTCATGAAGGAAGTCAGGTCATCCAGGGTAACAGAGAGGGAGGGGACAGCAGCCTCAAGAGGAGAGGATGATGATTTGGGGCAGATGACAGCAGGGACCAAGGCTGTAGCTCCCACTGACCAGAAGAAGGTACGTCTCTCTGGAAATGTGCAGAATTTTTTGAGAGAGACTTGTTAAAGTGCTGTGTTGTTGATTGTTGCCATCCAGTCAGCTCTGACTCAATGGCGACCCCGTGTACAACAGAACAAAGCACTGCTTGGTCCTCTACAAGCCTCATGATCGCTGGCATGCTTGAGTCCATTGTTGCCTTCCAACCCAGGAGGCTCATCTCCCAGCACTATATCGGACAATATTCTGTTGTGATCCACACAGGGTTTTCATTGGCTAATTTTGAGAAGTAGATCACCAGGTCTTTCTTCTTAAGTCTGTCTTGGTCTGGAAGCTTTGCTAAAATCTGTCCACGATGAGTGACCCTGCTGGTATTTGAAATACTGGTGGCATAGCTTCCAACATCAGAGCAATACACAAGCCACCGAAGTATGACAGATGGGTAGTGGGAGCTATTGATACTATTAAACTATTATGACACTGTGGGCAAAAAAAGGATGGAGACAATCCCTAGCGGTTGCCCAAGAGCCAAAGAGGAAGGTATCAATCAGAGAGCCATTTGAGGAAGATACATTAACAGAAATGGGTCATCTTAGAGGGTGAGGGAGAAGAAGAGAAAGCCTGTTGTTCAAAGTCTTAACTCCTTCCTCTAGTTTTCTGATATGGAATACTGGAAATATTTGCATCCTTAATAGAACTTTTAAGAAAAGAAACATAATAAAGAGAATCTAGTAGGAAGCTTGCCAAGAAATACTATTCTCTAAAATAGTTTCTTAATCTCAGCACTACTGACATTTGGGGCCAGTTAATCTTTGTCATCTTTGCTGTGGGACTCTCCTGCGCATAGTAGGATGTTTAGCAGCATCCCTGGCCTCTACCCACTAGTTGCCAATGGTACCTCCCAGAGGCGATGGCCAAACTCATCCCCAAACACTGTCAGATGTCCCCTGGGGGAAAAATTAAATTGCCTCTGGATGAGAACCACTGCTCTTCACTCTTGGGCAGAGGCTTAAAAAAGAAGAACATGAAAAAAATCTAACACTGGTTGAGATGTAGTGGGATTTACCTTTATTTTACTCTCAAACAAAAAAAGCCCTAACAAATGCTTGGCTTTGGTGCTACAACGACATCATGCACTGGTTAGGAGTCCTAATACTGACGACTCCAAATAGGAAAGAACTATTTAGCATAGAGAATTGAGCAAAACTCCAATTAAGGAAAACAGAGGCAGGACAACAGAGTTATATTTTCCCCCAAGAAGTAGGGGCTATACCCTCTCTGGGGATGCTGAAAGTTACAGAGGCAGAATAAACTTCCTGACAATCTTTTATACCTGGAAAAGAGAAGACGGCTCTTAGGGAACTGTCCCCCCTCTTATTTTCCTATCTTCATCTAAGGCTATTAATATCTCAAGCTGACTGCTAACTCTTCATATTTGCATTTAAATGGAAAAGAAAATTCTGACATCGGTAGCTTACTGCAGACAATCTTACTTTTCAGCCTTTCCGTGTTTTGATGCTGCTGTGCATGAACTGTTTAAGGAAAACTGACTGTTTTGTTATATAGTTAACACCCTCCTGAGGGAGGCAATTGGGTTCCCTTTATAGGACCACTACCTCACCTGTGGTGTAAGGTCAGTGCTGATTTTAAGAAAAAACAGAGCTTCCGTGGACACCAAGCTCTTCGTGGAAGCCACTCGCAGCTCCACAAGTGAATTTACTCTATGTGCCTAAGATCCATAAAAAGCCATAAAATGTTTTACGCAGTTCAAGTCACAATGGCTTGGATTAATAAAGGAAACAAAGTTTTATGATTTTGAGATTATTCTCAAGCGGCATATCACTAAAAAAAAAGGGGGGGGCAGTCCAAGTACCATGATGGCATGGGGAACTGTATTGTTTCTACAACTTTTTGAAGTGCTAAATGAAATGTCACTACTGTGGACGATTTGGCTAGAGCGAACTTAAATTCCCAGCACACAGAGCCAAAATACCCCTCAACGTTTCCCTCCTGCAAATGCCCCAAACGCACATAAATAGAGGGCGCTATGCCAAGAGAACAACTCAAACACATCCTTTTCCAGAACAGTTGACTTGGTGTTCATGAGCTTGTTTTCTGTTTATATGTAGAAATCAATATAAATACAATCTTCCAAAATGTTGTTTGTTAGTCTACAAGAAATATGATAAAAGAAATTTTTTTTTAATCACTGGTAAATGTGAGACCCTAGTTCACTGGCGGCTCCATGATTTTTATTTAGGAAGGACTTAGGGAAAAATGGCTGAAAGAGGCTTAGGGAGGGATGGAGTGGAGACAACAGAATTATCCCAAGGCAAAGTTTGCTTAGCAAGCACATGGGTTTACTTAGACTGGAAGTTCATTGGGAGTAGCTTACGAAGGGAACGTAACTTCCCTCTTCACCACCAAGCCATTCCATGAAATTCTACTGCCCTGGATATAAAAGCATATACCAGGTCATTTCCCCTACTCCTCTCAATTCTACTACTAACTAGGCCAAGTTAGTTGGTAATCAAAATTAATTTTGAAAATGGGTCTTGACTTTGAGATCGTGATTTTAGCTAGGTAATAAGGAACTAATCAACTGACTTACTATAGTATTGTCAACTTTGGGTAGGATAATGTCAGTTAATTTTTATTTAATTTTATTTTAAATTATAAAATCTTGTATTTCATGATGTTATATATTTATATATGTACATTTAAATACATATTTTATAGAATCTTATTTATTATAATATCTCATGCATATGCTTAGGAAGAGAACTAGCCTGCTTTTGACCTAGCTGTTGAAGATGGACGAGAACGCTAAGTGTTTAGTAATTCAAACTTTTTATAAAGGGGACAATGTAGGCAAGGCAAGAAGCTATTCACTCTGTTTTTATTTCTTAAGGATCCAAAGCACAGAGAGCAACCACAGAGTCACTCCATTTCAGTGTGCCCAATTCTAATAACCCCAGAATGACCTCTGTCATGTTCATTTTTATTCAAGAAACAGTTACAGAGGCATTCAGCTGCCACTGGGACTGCCAGGTAAGAAAAGATAGGCATAAGCCCTGACCTCATAGCTCCCAAGCTCTCCTACTGGACAGAAAGTTCTAGTGTTAAGCAGATAGGTATACCAAGCAGTGTAAAACAGAGCCAGAGTAATCTGCTCAGAGGTACACGACTCATGAAGCCAGTCAGGGGATGATTCCCTGAAGAAATGATGATTAACCAGAAAGGAAGGGAGGGACGCACTTTCCATGGAGTGGGAACAGCAACTGCAAAGGTACCATGGCAAGAAGGACAACAGAAGGCTGTGGTGGTTGGAGCAGAAAGAGTGGAGAGGAGGTGGCTTGCCAAGATACACAGGCCAGACCGTGCAGGGGCTAATGGACCAAGAAGGGGAAGTCACTGAAAGATTTCTGGGAGAACTAGCTCAGGAGGTTTGCATTTCACAAGATTACTATACTCATGGTGTGGAGAACAGACTGGATGGGAGCAAGAGCCCAGGGTAGACATGATGGCAGACTGGACAGGGTTTTATATATGGTGACAGAGTCGTGGAGAGACTTGAGACGCAAAATCCCAAGGATGAAGTAATAGTTGGACGTGAAGGTTTCTGGCTGAAAAGAGTAGACAGAACTGGAAGAAGGATCATTTGGAAAGGAGACCGCTGGCTTCTAAGACTTGAATTGGAGTCTTCCACCATTAAATTTCCTTTAAGACGGTAGGTTTTTCTACTTTAGTACATCATCTATATGTGGATTCTTGGCATGGTGTTTTGATACACTGCTCTGTCAGCTCTGAAACCTTAACTCTAAACTGGGCTCACGAAGGTACTGAAACGAATTTAGTGGCCCTGCCTAAAATAACGAGTTTACCCACCAAATCACTAACCTATAAATTCTGACACAAAGGGTGACTCTGGGAAATGAGCTTTCTGAAAAGGGTGGCACTGCCCTGTCACAAGCCTAGAGAAAGTCAGGTTTGTCAACACAAAATAATGTTGTTTTCTCAGCGGCAGGGTTAAATCAAGGTGGGAAACCCCACAGTTAATACTGTGCGGAAGTTGTAAATTAGAAGTATGTTTTTGTCTATACTTGCCTTGGTCGTTTTGACTTTATTGCCACTGCTACAGGACCAACCTGAGTAATCGGGCAGCACTTTACAGTCCTCTCCTTCCAAACAGGGATCCATGTGACACCACCATTTCTGTATCACGATGGAAGCTGGAAAACAAAGGCCAGATGTTATGTATGACCCTGTTTCTTTCTCCAAATGTAGACAAAATAAAGCTCAGTATGGGTTGTTAGGTGGCATCGAGTCAATTTCAACACACAGTGACCCCATGTGACTGACAGAGTATCACTACCCCAAAGAATTTTCCGTGCTCTTTATGGAAGCAGATGACCAGGTCTTTCTTCAGCAGAGCCGCTAGGTGGGTGCAAACCACCAACCTTTCATTTAGCAGCTAAGTGCTTACCTGTAACCCAATATGGGTTAGTACACTGAATTCAAAGATTACTAGTAAGAATTGTTTGACCCTAAGTAAATGTAAATAATCCAATCAGCATTATACTCTACAACATATTTGTTTTTTGCAGTTGGCTACCCGAGTTTAGCATAGGTAGTGAGAGATCTCAAGCTTGCGTATGAATCTAGCTGTGCTACTTTCTTGATTTCTAAGTGATATTGGACTAGTTATTTAACTTCTCTCAACCTTAGTTTCTTCTTCCATAAAATGGGAACAAAAACAGAACCTCTTCCTAAACTGTCATGAGGATAAAGCTAATCCTTTGTGAGAAACTCGGCTTACTTTAGGCCTGTCACTGTGTTCTCAGAAAAATGTTAGCTGTTATTATGGTCAGCATCTTTGGGCACAGGGTACAATGGTGGGCATTAATATTGCAAATTTGTTAAGTCTGATGCTGTTTGTTGTCAACAGCAATAAACATGTCTTTCATGCATGGAGCTTGGAGTCCCCTCGCTGGAGCAAATGGTTAATGCACTTGGCTGCTGACAACATGGTTGGAGGTTTGAGTCCACCCAGAGGTGCCTCAGAAGAAAGGCCTGGCAATCTGTGTCTGATAAATCAGTCATTGAAAACCCTATGGAGTACCGTTCTGCTCTGACACCCATGGGGTTGCCATGAGTCAGAGTTGACTGCAACTGGTTACATGGAGCTCATCTCTCCATGCCCTTCCAGTAAGTGCTGAGCGATCAAATTCAAATGAAGTCAATTTCTAGAAGCCAACTGACAGTGAGTGGGGCTGACAGTCCGTCACATTTCTACATTCTGGACTAATTAGCTCACCTATGGAATTCACTTTCTCCTCATTCACAGTCTCCACAATGGTCTGCCAGTAAAATGATTTGTGTTTTAAGCCCACGAAGCGCAAAATAGCACCCCAGTACCCTGGATTTGGAACGAAGCTGAGAAGTAGAGGGAAATGCCATCAACTTTGGCTGGTTATTCCCACGGAGTCAGAAGGTAGAAAAGGTGACTGACTTTAAGGGTGAGCCCAGCCAATGGGCTGGTACAGGACACGGTTTGGGGTAAAGGGGGTATTAGCCCTGTTTTTCTAATTCAAACAGCAACTCAGGTTCAAGCAAAGCTTTAGAACTTCTAATACCTATTGCCACTGAGTCGATTCCAACTCATAGCGACCCTATAGGACAGACAGAACTGCCCCATAATGTTTCCAAAGCTGTAATCTTTACGGAAGCAGACTAAGCACCTTTTTGAGAGCCAGACATCCTGCTAATTGCCTTCGCTGCATTTTTTTTTTTATTTCAATCTTACAGTAAAAGTGGTTATTTTCCTGCAATTTATAAAGATGAAATCCCGAGGCGTTAAGTGGCTTGTCCAAGGCTACAGAGTTTGAAAGCGGTCCTGTCAGTACCTGAATGGAGGCAGTCGAACGCTAGAGCCCACAGCTTACCTTACATATCCCCTCTCCCTCACACCAGCGATCTCTTGCAGAAACAACTCCTTATACAGAGGCTGCAGCAAAAGTAAGTAACAGCAGTTCAAAACCAGGGACGATTTACCCAATAAGCAAGGTACGCACGGGGTAATTGCGTTTCCTTACTAACCTATAACATAGCTTGCTTACTGTAAGTCGGTGCCTACCGTGCTTACTGGTTAACCTGCCCCTGTTAAAAACTCTTCCCAGTTGAGCAAATGCTATGTGGTGTGATGAGGGCATAGGCTGATTTCATTACTGGCTGAACTGACCAGACACAGTGTCCTCTACACACAGGGCCACTATTCCCAATTCTGGAATAATCTATGCAATCATCCCGTCAAAACCAATAGTACCTAAGCAAGGTAGATTCGTGATCTAGGAGAATCATTTGCTATTTAAATCAGAAGATGCCAGTCCTGAGAAAGGAATATAGCTAAATGGGTTATTTGTCAGAGACTGTCACTAAACTGGAATGGATGGACGCATTGGAGCAAAGCCTGAGAATGTTATATTCTTTTCTGCAGCAAACATTCTCACCTTAAAACTGTATGAAGCTTTGTTACTTTCTCACTTTCCAAAGCAGTTTCACGTACTGTTCCTCTTTAGATTGTCCGAACAACTCTGAAGAGCAGAAAGAGTAGGCAGATGGTTCCAGAAATAAAAACAAGAGCTACCTTCAAGGTTAAGCAGCGTGAGGAGGAGGTATGAGAATGGAGATTTTCTTCCTCCCTGTCACGAAGTCCTCCTACTCTATCACATTTTTAAATAATATTTTAGATTAATAAGTGCTGCAGAGAGTCTTACCATAGTATTAGTAATCAGTCAGAATTTTCTGAATATTTGGTGTTTGCCACGAGAGGACATAGAGATGATTCGGTTCCAAACTCTCAATGTAAAGTCCCAGCTGTAGGACTTGAAAAGTTACATAAATGTTGACAGAGTTTAGTTATATATACAGAATTAGAATCAAATTTAAAATACTTAAAATACTTTTTTATCTTTAAAAGTGTCCCATAAACAAACTTTCCTCCACTCAGTGGTGGAAAGCTATGTACTCTTGTGAGGGATCAGAGCTCTCAAAATTTGAAAAATGGAAGACTCAAAAGAAGCCGTGGCAGTGGGCGGTGAATGACCTGGCTGAAGCGAAAGGTCAGGGAAGGTGTGATGCTCAGCTGAGGAAGGGTCCTGGAAGCAAGCCCTAGAGGCCAATGCAAGATTAGACTTGATTCTCTAAGCTGTAGGGAGCCATGGAAGGCTTCTGAGGAAGGTAGTGCAGTAAGACAAGGAAACCTGAGTGTCTGGCACAGGAGCTTGGTAGGGAAAGATGGATAAATTTGGAACAGAGAAGAGGCTAAAAGAAAAAAACTGGTTCATGTGTGAGTGAGGTGAGAAACTAGAAATAAATGTACTGCAGAGGAAATGGAATGAATCAGATTACCTCAACTCTACAGCACAGGGATTTTTCCAGCACTTCTTTCTATGACCCATGGGGATACCAAGATAATTCT